CTCGATAGAAAAGAATGTTAACGACATTTTTTGTCCGCCAATTGAATTCTGGCTGTCGAACAGATTTGTTATCTGTCTCGTAAGATCGATATCTTTGTTGCTTTCGCTCTGTTGTTAATCGAATCAACGAGAGTAATCCGGCGAATTACACGAGATTTGCGTGTCTGATAAACATTGCTTTTGGATCAGATCGAATTAGGAACATTTCGTGCAAATTGTCACATTTTTAGTTAAATCTCTTAGCGTAAGGAGCGCATATATTTTTAACAGATAACATAGAATTGTTTATGCTAACTTTGGCGAAGTAATGTAACTAAAATCGTACGAAACTTCCTGTACGAATATAGGAAACGACTTTTCCAGGAAGAATTGCAAAGTGGATCCCTCGATACGATATCTGTAATCTGATTTGTCATTTACAAACCGAACCCCCCCGTTTCTAGGAATCGTAATCTCAGTGTAAACCATTCGGAAACCTGATCAACTCGTAAACCAACGAAATTCAATCTCCAATGTCATAAGGTGCCACGATAATTCATGCAACGAGAAGCCGTCGGAATATGCGCATTGTCCTTTATCTAAATTACAGTTCTACGAGATTTCGGATGCATGTAATTAAAATAAGGGGAAAAGGACTATACGACCTTACCTGGCGGGTCAGTTTCCTCCAAGACACTTTTCCAAGGAAACTACGCAGTTTCGTCCTTGGCATTCGTACCTTAAACCTAATTCTCGGTCTAAACACGCGTGGGTCAACGCTGAAATCGCACAATAGGCGCCTTTTTCTCTGCAGTAAAATGAAAATTCCCAAAAGATTCTCTGCGATGAAAAAGAAAATTTCTAAAAGATTCTCTGCGATAAAATAAAAATTCCCAAACGATTCTCTGCGATAAAGAATAAAATTCCAAAAAGATTCTCTGCGATAAAGAAGAAAATTCCCAAACGATTCTCTGCGATAAAGAAGAAAATTCCAAAAGATTCTCTGTGATAAAATAAAAATTCCAAAAAGATTCTCTGCGATAAAGAAGAAAATTCCAAAAGATTCTCTGCGATAAAATAAAAATTCCCAAACGATTCTCTGCGATAAAGAAGAAAATTCCCGAACGATACTCTGCGATAAAGAAGAAAATTTCCAAAAGATTCTCTACGATAAAGAAGAAAATTCCCAAACGATTCTCTGCGATAAAGAAGAAAATTCCAAAAAGATTCTCTGCGATAAAGAAGAAAATTCCAAAAAGATTCTCTGCGATAAAGAAGAAAATTCCAAAAAGATTCTCTGCGATAAAGAAGAAAATTCCAAAAAGATTCTCTGCGATAAAGAAGAAAATTCCAAAAAGGTTCTCTGCGATAAAGAAGAAAATTCCCAAACGATTCTCCGCAATAGAAAAGAAAACTCCAAACGATTCTCTGTCGAGTCAAGAAACACGAGGAGATTTGCTCGCGAACATTCTTCCAGGTGCAAGAATTCTTCCGTCCGGAAGAATCGTTTCTGTCCTCGTCGATCGAGGAATCGTTGAATAGCGGAGGAAATTCAGAGCGACTTGGACGGTGGTAATCGACGATACGCACGTTCCATCGCAACGTAACACCGATATGCGTCGGAGGAAACGGGTCCGTTTCAGCGTGGCGTTGTGACGCGTGGAACGCGGCATCACGCTATCTGAAAGCGGCGGTCCGATGGTGGAGGAGTCTTGTTACCGATTCTCAGACGTTTTCACGTTGACGCGATGACCTTTGCGGCTTCGTCTCGTTTACCTGTCGCCTCGGATACCTGCCGTTGTCCGGCTTTTCCGGGCTTGTTGTTTGTGCAGAATCGCGGTTCGCCGCCGCGTCGTGCGTCTTCTCGTCTATCGATCGGTTAGCCGCGTAATAACGCTTCTAAAGCAGGTTTCGTGAGTCAGCGTCACGCTCCAGACCGATTGTTGTTTCTAAACTTGATCGCCTGCAACACCAGGACCTTGGCTCTCTCTTTCTCTCTTTTTCTCTCTCTCTCTTTCTCTCTCTAGTGCTGCTGCTGCTCTCCGTCTATTTTCGTTCGGCTGTTCCAAAGGCGTGGCGAGGTTAACCGATATCCGAGGATCGTGGACGATTAGCATAAGAAATTGAACGTTTGATCGAGGGCTAAAACGGGGATCTCTAGCAATGCGGTCATCCTTGATCTGAATTAGACACGAAGTCTCTTCAGAAACGTGGTAAAGTCTACAGGGTGTGTTCTGTGTTTGTTAGTCGCGTCGGAGAGAATCGAAAATCGTGAGATTTTTTATCGAGAACCGTGACAATTCTTGGGTCGCTGGCAATGCAGTCACTCTTTTTCTGAATTAGACTCGAAATCTCTCCACAAACGTGGTAAAGTCTACAGGGTGTGTTCTGTGTTTCTTAGTCGCTTCGGGGAGAATCCAAAATCGTGAGATTTTTATTCTTTTTCTCAAGAACCATGACAATTCCTGGATCTCCAGCAATGCAGTCACTCTTTTTCTGAATTAGACACGAAATCTCTCCAGAAACACGATCAACTCTAGAGAGTTACTCCTTTTCTTTTATTCGCATCAGAGGGAATCCAAAATCGTGAAATTTGTCATTTTCCTGTCGTCAACCCTTTCAGCGATAATACCACTAAACAAAGCTACGATACCAACGTTATTTCTTAACAAATACTCAGAGAGAAGAAGATCCTCTCCAAAAAAAAAACTCTGACAAAAGAAAGCAGCTTGTTGCTACCACCCTTCTTTCTATCCCTGAGTCCCCAAAACAAAAACAAGAGTCCATAAAGAGTACACATAAACACGTTCACAGCGCATAATAAGCAACTTCTTGAAACCTGACGTGCGTACCGTTGAGAGGGTTGAAACGTTTCTTTTATTCATCCCCGGAGATGTCTCACTTATCGGTCGCTCGTAATTCCTGAATACTTCGTCGCGAGATGTTAAACCGTTTCAAATTGGCTATACCGAAGCAGTAATAGACATAAAAATTTGACGAAGTAGAGAATAATAATAGGAGTGTAAAGTGGCTGGGCGAAATGGTTTCAAGTCGAGCGATATTCAGAGCGCCTAAAATAAAGTATCGATGTAGCGGCTGCAATTGTCAAGGTCGGCCACCTTGGTCCCAGCCGAACCACCGCGATTTCATTATCGGGTCAGTGCTTCTCAAATGAACCAACGAAAAATCATTCTTGTCAAGCTGTAGAAGAAGAAGAAGCCTCGCGTTACATAAAATCTCTTCGATTTCGAGTTTAATCGCTCGCCTCGTGTCACCGGCCTACCGAACTCCGACGCCTTCAGACAAATTGGAGTTACGCAATCCCCGTGAAGTCTGCAGTGATAACGAGCGAGTTGCGTAATTGTTAATACCTGCTGCTCCTTCGACGTAACGCTCAAGTTCCTCGTGCTGATTAAAAGTGGATTACTTAACGAGAGTCGTTCAGTTTGATTATTAGAAGTCGCGTCCAACTTGCTTCACGGATGTATCAACTTGCCTGGTAGTTGGGGAAATTGATACGGTTCGAGCTCGATCGAATTAGGGTCTTTTCACGTTTTCACTTGGAACTTACGGAGAGGAAGATCCAAAGTGTACAGGGTGGACCATGTGAAACCGAAGAGGTCAGTTTTGTTTCACACTCGAGTGTAACATTTTAGAGTTCAAGGTCGTGGTATTATACTGCCACAATATACAGTAGAAAAAAGTATTTTTTCCTTTGAGACCGTTTAAATTGCATACAGAGATCTTCTCGCACCGCCATAGCTAGCTAATTAAGAAGCTCGCTCTGTACTTTTTAGTCGTAATTAAGTAATTACCTCGATGAAAGAAAAGGTACCAACCTACGTTTTCCAACCTACTCTCTGATCCCCGGGTATAATTGAAAGTTATCCTCTAACGAGCGATACAGAGAAGCTTGCA